AGAGAGAGAGAGAGAGAGAGAGAGAGAGAGAGAGAGAGAGAGAGAGAAAGTTTTAAGAGGGGAATATAAGAAGGGAATACGCCTGGCACTGTACTGTACATGGAGTCTGTGGAGAAGGAGCCCAAGGCGCGGGCAGAGTCCTGATGAGGAGGCAGATGGTGCTGGCAGTGAATGAACCCTGCCCAGAGGGAAAGGCTGGAATAACCCTGGAAGGCTCTTGGCTGGCGGGAGGCTGACATGGAGCTGCTCTGTGCTGAGAGCAAGTGTGTATGACATCTGGGCTCTAAGAGCAAATCTGAATCCGAGAGAAGGCTTAAGGGGTGGTCACGCCGTGAAGGGGATTCCATGCCTCATTCAAAGTCCTGATTGCCACCTTCATATGTGAGCTGCAGTCTCGTGGTCCAGAGGCAGATCAACCTTTCAGCCCAGTGTCTGCGGTAATTAACCCTGTGGGATCTCGGGCCGTGGCTTCTTTCCTTTCTGTGCTCTTCCTTTTTTTTCTCTCTCTTTCTTTTTATTATTTGTTTAGCTTGGGCTGCACTTTCATAGGCATGTGTCCTAATGAAAATTCTAAAGTTGCACAGCAGTAGGGAGAATGGTGTAGGGGATCCCAGGTACGCAAAACGTCTTTCCAACCAACATCTACATCGGATCTCTTCTTCAGCTGCAGGGAAAACGGTGCAGGGGATCCCGAGTACCCATCACATCCTTCCAACAGACATACACACTCAATCTCTTCTTCAGCTGCAGTTTTCCCCTCACTTTCAACTATGCATCAAGCCTTCAGGAGTATCTGGGAATCTCAGTGTGGGACTTCACTAAGGAGGCCCTATAGGTGGGACAGGCTGGGCAAGGGTGCCTGAACAGGGTCTTTAAACGAGAGTGTTGACAGCGCCATTGCACTCAGAGAAACCCGAACTCCAATCTAGGTCTTGCATTTTAAGGCTAGGGCTTCTGTCCTCCTCTGACCACTTATCCTATAAGGACCTATGCCAGCCTGGAGCCTGTGTCTCCCTCAACAGGTGTAGGTGCCTGGGACCCAGGAGCTCTCTACCCAAAGAGTCAGAGACCACTTCCAGGGGCTACTCTGGCCCGGGTATAACAGAGGTGATAAGGCAGCTGGCTGAGATGGGAACACAGGCAGAACTCAGGTCTGCGGGGTGAGCAGGACGCATTTATATGAGGTTCCTAGAGGTATTAAAAGGGTAAATACCAAGAAAGACATTGTCACCCTCCCATAGACCCAAAGCTCCATGGGGAGCACCACTCTTGGCCCACAAGTCACAAACACTAAGGACAGGCCTTGAGAGGAAGGGACATCATCATTTTCTCAATGTTCGTGTGTGTGCATATAATATTCATATGTGCACAAATGTGAGTGTGTGTGTTCATGCATGCACGCGAAACAATCTCTCACTGAAATCTTGAACTCACCCATCAGCCAATGTGTCGGGCCATCAAGCTCCATGGATCCTCCTGTCTCAGCCTCCCCAGCGCTGGAATCCCAGCTGTGTTGTGCCATGCTTGGCTTTTTAAACGCATTGTGGGGATCTGAACTCGGGTCCTCATATTTGCACAGCAAACACTTCACTGACTGAGCCACTGCCCCAGATCCTCCTTGTTCTTCATGTAGAGTCACACCATGTCGGTCCTTGTCAAGAAAATCAGCCATCAAGGGTTCTGTAGAGCTAGGCAAGTACCATATGAACCCCTGGACTACGCAGTAAAGGTGATGCCAAAGCCAGTGAACATGTCGCCACCAGAAGGACAAGATTGTCCTCCACTGTGAGTTCAAAGCAGACCAACTTCCTTTATCAGTGTTTAAAGAAAGCCTCTTTGCCCTTCACCCCTTCCTCCACTGCATGCCCTCCTCCACTGGGTCCCTCTGAAAAGAAATACTTTCCAGTGTGGGAATATTTTCTGTCATTCTGAGAACAAGGAGAAATTTATCTGACTTGAAATAACATCGGCAAAAGTCCCTGTACCAAGCAGAATTCTAGTTTATTAACCGTCTTCATTTTGAGAAGAAAGTACTGCAGATACAGACTGTTATGTCCTGGAATTCAGCCCTTTAAATGGATGCAGAAGGAAGGCAGATGCTACCCATGTTAATAGGCATGCACATAAAGGGAAAAAAAGCACAGAAAGCAAGTTAGGGAAGCCCGATAGCAGTTGGGAATTTTTTTTAATTCCTGGGTGGATAATATGTAGTTTCATTTAAATAAGAACACAGTCTCTATTCATTTAATTTGCCAAAGAAGTCACTCCAACACTCACAGGCAGTGCCTAGGAAGACATTTTTAGATGTGTCGCTGCGGCTTCAAAATTAAAAGTGAATCAGTCCTGCGGAGTTAATTACTAGTAAATTAATCGGAAGTAGGTCTCCCACATGGCATGGTGCCAGCCAACAGTTCTCAGTGCTAGCCAGAAACATGGTAAGGTATCAGATCCTCATTTGTAAATCTTTCTGTGTGTGGCACATTATAGCGACAGAGAGTGAACTTGTTGGCATCACCCACAATGGGAAACAAGGACAACACTGAACTAGAAGACTTTGAAAGATGTCCCACTGCACCCCCAAATGGAAAAATCCCCATTTCTCTGTGGCCCATTCCACAATGTCTACAGAAAGGAAACATACCTAACTCTTTTCCTAGACCAGTGTAATGACCTCACCTAGCTATAGGAAGTAGAAAACATTTTAGAAAACATTAGAAGTCACTTTGTATCTCTGGTGTTTGGGAACACAGTGTCTTCTGGTACAGTACCATGAAGACAGAGACAGAGAGAAGACACCCAAAGAAAGAAGAAATGGACCCAGGAGAAGCATTATCTAAAATTTAATTAAATATCTGAATACAGGAAGCCGGGAACAGATGAAATGCTCGTGAGAGAAATAGCTCATGCACAGAGTTTGGTTAATAACATGACTGCTGATGTATTGTTAGGGACAAACATTTATTTTATTTTGTTTTCCTCCAAAAATGTCCATTCTCTGTGTCTCCCATAATTATTCAAATGTACAAGTGTTCCTACCGTTCTTAGTCCAAGAGTGCAGCAAGGCAAGCTGTCTTTGCTTCTGAATTATGAAGTTTGTTGAGGCTGTTTGGCCCCAGACTCGATGTGGCTAACAGACTGCTCTGTGCCTCTTATTACTGTCTTCCCTGTTTAATTTCATGAGATGATGTCACATGGTTTTGCACATTGAAAATGTATCTGAAAACAAAGATGAAGATGGGAAACCTCAACTGAGACATTGGAGAGTAGAGTCCCATTTGGAACGTGCCTTTGACATACCACTGAGTGTACTATTCCATCTTCAACAGACATGATACTGATAATAAATGGCATGGCAATATATATGAATAACATAAAACAGTGATACTTCCTAGCGGGTGACTTGCCTAACCCCTTAAAAGCACAAGTGGCTTTGGAGAGTCAATCTGTATTCGTGTATCATCTTGACCATCAGTTTCATTTAGGAACCGAAGTTCCAAATGGCAGTTGTCTCACAAACCAGGTCAAGACCAGAACTCTAGGCAGCCACAGGTGTATCTGTGTCTCTTTCCAAATGGTGAAAGGCCATCCCTTCTGGCGTCTGGAAGAAGTAAAATGTCCTTGTCTCGTGGGTATTGCTTTGGGTACCACATGCCCAATATGTTCTAGCATCTAGGAGCATGCAATGGCAGCTAACATCAGCTATGCAATTATGGCATTAGTGTTTAAGTATATCGTGTGCATTGAGACATCTTTAAAGAGAAGGCAGGATTCATTCTCCTTAGCAACCATTATAGTACAGAATGTTCAAAGCTGCGGTCACACTCAGAGGCGAATAAATTGATTACAAATGTGGGTAGCAGGAAGTGTGCATGCTTTAGAAAATGTGAAGCTACTACCTAAAATAGATAGCCCCCCCCCTTTTTTGTTTCCAAAATTCCATTTCTGGTTTCAGACCATCCACTAGCAAGCTTGAAATTTTTACATGTAACACCCAACGCTAGCTTTCCACCTTAGAGATGAGTAGAGAGGGGTGTAAAACAATAAATTTGGTTTGTTTCCTCACTGACTGAGAGTCTATCTCGCTTCATAAATGACTCAATAATGACCCTTTAAAGAAAAAAGGGCTTGAAGTCTCAATGACAATACACACCGGGGTACACACCTGTGGTTTCACTCTTTCAGGCCAATATACAAAGACTAAAAACTGTAACAGAAGGAAGCATGATTAAAATGCTGTCTACACACACAGTTTCTTCCTCCATAGTATTCCCTTTGACTCATGCACACACTCATACACTCAAGGCGCTCCATATATAAGACGATGGAGGTTGGAAGAGTTGTATGTTTTGAAAGCTATGTTTCAAAGCAAACTTGAAATAAATTAACTGGTTCTTTTAAAACGTCAGTTTACAAATCCTTGCAGTCTGGGTGCCTGGACGTAAGGGTGCCTCTAAAACACGGGAACAAAGGAGAAAAATCTGGTGGTGGTGCACGATTACTTTGGGACTCCATTTAGGGAAAGACCTCGGTTCAGGTATTGCACTGGGAAAGGAAGGCAAACTCTTCCCCACGGGGATCTTCTCTGGGGCTGGGGGTAGCTTACAAAGAGAGGAGGTGATGCAGCAGATGGCATAGGAAGCTCCCCAGGGCCAGGTGAGTTACCAGTGCTGGCCAGCCGCCCGGGTGCCCAGCTGCGCCTGGGACATGGCTGGCACCGCGGTGGCGGCCGCGGCGGCTGCAGCCGCATCCCCGACGCCAGGCAGGACCGATCGCACGGATCTGCGGAACTCCTCGTTCCTCCACGTGTAGAGCAGAGGGTTGAGCGCCGACAGGGCGCAGCACAGGAGCCAGCTGGCCGCCTGCACGCCCCAGGGCACCGGCAGCGAGAAGCCGCTGGCCAGGCTCACCCACACCAGCGGCTGCGTGGCCAGCAAGAAGACGCAGCAAAGCAGCAGCACCGACAGGCCGCTGAGACGTCGCTGTGCGCG